CCACACCAGTGGGGCATATCCATGCACTGGCAGATCGGTGCTGCCGGAACAGCAACTGGCAATGCTGCCTGCTGGCAACAGGAGAGGATTAGGCACCCTCTCATCTTCCATTTTGCAGGAGAAGCTGGGGATGTATATGCATGCATTCAGTCACCTGCTTTAGCCCTGTGTGGTTTCCTCTGGAACACTAAGTTAGTCTTGTAAACAAGAAATGGCGTTGCAATGTAGGTTTAAGAACACTAAATTTGCACTTTAACTGCGAGCCCATGCTTCTGCAGATTTAAGCCTTGAAACTAGGACAATTGTTGTGATGAGGGTAGAATAAGCCCCAATCTCTCACGATAAAATGCTTAGAGCAGTAAATATTTACTATTAAGCTAGCCAGGATCCATTTCCTCTAATTAAAACATTTTTATCCTGGTGCTGTTTCATCCCTTACCACTAAACGAAAAATGTATTTAAGTCAGCACTGCTCCTGAAAGTGATCCCATTGAGCTGGAAGACTACAGTTTCCCTGGACTGCAAAATCAATCAGAGATCATCTCCTGAGGGGCAGCTGATGATACAAGCCCCATAGTGTGCCAGGGAGCAGTGAAGTTCCTTGGATGAGGACTGAAGTACATACATGGGAGGAAAATGAAAGCAAGTCCATTTATTCTCAAACTTACCACCTGGCTTCTAAGCTCAAAGCTCCAGCAGAATTTTTTTGCCCCTAGCTTTAAAATTGTTGCAGCTATAAAATATGTTCTTGGGGTTGGAATTGAACATATTAAACTTCTTCATATAGCTCAGGAGCTTACATCCTATCCTTGCACCTCTTCATGAATGAAGTCCTGCCAAGTCGGTAATTACAAGCAGGACACAGAGAGGTGGTGTTTTTTACAATTTCTTTTGATTGCTCATGTCCTACCTAATGCCTGCAGTGATGAAGAGCACCCTTAGCTGGCTGCATTACTCCACCAGACACCACCATATTATATAATGGGAAGCAAAAATAATACAATTTAAATACAGGATATTGCATAAGGAACAGAATGCTGCACGCCTCTGAATTTATGGTGCCTGATTTCCTGTAGCTTCCTCTGCTGTGGAGTTTACAGTGTTTACTAATGCAGCTCGGGCACACTGCAGCCTTCCTCTCTATGGGCACCAATTCTTCTCCAGCAGCTGCCTTTTGCCAAGGAAATTGCATAATGGCAGTTCTGCAGCTTTGACAAAGGTGACTGAGGTTAGTCACACAGCTGAAACATAATTTTTGGAAGAGAAAAAGTGAACCAAACTCATTGACTCAGGAAATGAGTGCGCTGATGTCATTTTCGTGTCCCCCCAAAGCGTTTATATAGTTATTGTACCACTTTAAGTGGTATTTCCCAACTACTTCTGAAAAAAAAAAAAAAAAGGAGGAAAATCGCATAGAAGTTGAAAATAATTTAATAATTTTTCTGTTAACTTCATCTGTTCATTTCATTGCAGCTAGGATTTCTCCTCTGATTTCTGCCCTATGCTGTACAAACTGAAGATGAAGGACATTTGTAACTTGCCCTCCAACTCACACTGCAAGGTTTGTAAGGAGTTAACCAGATCGTGGCCACCAATAATGACTGAGCAACAATATTTGAAAGTCAAGTGAAAAAGCACATCAAAAGCACCCACCAAAAAGCAACTGAAGAGAACAAAGCTACTTAATATTTGGGAAGAGTAATATGACATGGACAAGACAAGCAAAAGTGAAATACTTCAACCACAAGCTGAAAAAAATAGCCTGGCTAAGGCAGGGAATGCAGGGTGAAGAGATGAAAATCATGGAGCCAGGGACTAGGAGGGAATGAGAAATGTTTTTTATATGGAGCTGGAGGAGAAGTCAGCAACACTGGGACTGGCCCCAGCTGACCAGAACTTAAATTGTGCATTAACCAGCACAGATCCTCCTTCTCCTGTCTGCCTTCCATGAATGTGCTTGCTATTTGCTTGAAAGGTTTTTTTTAAACCACATTTTAAGAACTTAGGGTGGAGTTCCTACTTTCCCACCATGTTTATCATGCCAAGTACCATGCCAATGTAATTTCTACAGTAGATTCTAAGTGCTGGTACAATACACAGTAGTGAGCTACAAGGGATATGGGTCACATGAGGGAAATAGCAGACAAAAATCATTCTACCTGCCAGACTTCTGGCTAAATTGAGGTACTTTTAAGAGCTCAGGGAACATGGGAGTACAAACAACAAGATATAACTAGGATGCAAAGCTGAGTTTTGGGCAGTCAGGAAAACAGTTGTCCAGTCATATGAAGAAAACTCAGGAGGAGTTAAGCAGCAATGTAGACCACAAATGAAAAATCTGTGGCAGCCCAGTGCCATGCTAGCACAACACCACAGAGAGGCACATTGAAAGATGACGTTGGGAGCCTTTAGTGCATTTGTTTACAACATTATTTAAAATTACGCTTACCCTCAAAACATATAGCCCCCGTAGATATAACAAAATTAAATTTCTTCCCCAATGCATTGAAGTGTTACTTGTTACAAAAATCTAAACGGTTTACTTTTGATTCTACAGTTCATGTCATCCACTGCAAAATCTGTGTGTTTTGAACAATTTTTTTCTTCACAATACAGAAAAAAAAAAAGAGATAAAACCTAGCTAAATGCCTATCATGAAAACACAATTTTATTCCAAATTTAAACCTGTAAGTAAACTTACATTTTCACTCATGAAGAAAGTTTAAGCATACTGTAAAGGCCAAATGTATTTTCACTTTGTTTCTCTAGAAACCAACAACTGGTATGAGAGGACTGGCACAGACTTAATATACTAAAGAAACCCCACCTCTGAAACACAGATATATAAATCCCAGAAAAAATATTATTTCCCAGGTCAACACTTTTTATCCTACTTGGGAAACAAAGCAGATGATGACTTTCATATCACAGTTTGTATGCTTGCATAGTGTAGCACAAGGCAAAGAAAAGGAGAATTTGCAACGCATCAACAGAAACCTTCTGGCAATACTTCAATTGGTCCAACATCTTTTAAAATGTGTCTTCCAAAACCAAAATGAGCCATGTTTGATCTGTTCCCTTAAGAAGGAGTGACATGTTCTGTATTTTGATGAAGACAAATATTTATATGGAAGATTTAAGTGACAAAGATGTGTCAGTGAGTTATGCAAGTTACCTGAAACAAGGGCCAAAATTCCTTTTACTGAATCATCACACACTGCGTAACTAGCTTACTATAACCCTGCTCATATATACATCTCCCAGCCTTGCACAAAGGAGAAAGTAAAAGCTATTTTAGAAGTAATTTAGGAAGCTTAAAAACCAGCCAGTCACAGAGAAATTTATTAGCATCTTTTCTACGCCTCACTTCAACTGCCACTTTATTGAAAAGTGTTATTCTAGTAAAATCCTTAAAAGGAATGTCTCGAGGCTTTCAGTGACTACAAAGGACACTTGTAAAGTTAGCTGTTCTCATTAGTATACAGGGGCTAGGGTTTGGGGAGGAGGAAGGGGGGGAGGGAAAGGAGATGCAAAATCGATGCATAATTATCAGTGGCAAAAAGTTCAAGTCAAACTCGCCAGCTTTCAGAATTCCAGCTGACCCCCACCCATATATTTTTAACCATAATTAACTATTCAGGCTCCACCAGCTATGCCCAGCTTTTAGCTTGTTTCCTCCAGCTTTTTTTAGTAATTAAACTACTCATCCTAGGGTTCAAATTCAGCATCTGCACAGCAAATACCTACCTCCCTGAGCATCTAAAAGACAAATACAAGAATAACTAGTTCTTCAATTGTGGCTAGTGGTTATATTCTTTGTAACTGCTATTGAACTTTTTTTCCTGGAGAAAGAAACAAGAAAATTGCAAATAAAAATTCATTTGAAGGATAACCTCCACAGTACATCATTGTATTAGAGAGTAAGAACTAATGGCAGATCTGAATCTTTTCCAAGTTGTGCAAAACGCCACGAAAGCAGCCCAAGTTAGGAGAAAAAGGACTTCAGATGTTAGTAATTAAGGAGGTTCTAAAATGCACTGAACTTTTTTTTCTTTTTGCACTTTACATGCTTTGATATGGAAAAACTGCATTCAACTTATAACTTAGTCAAGATAAAGCTAATAATATCACATACTGGTCCTAATGCAGTGAAACATCATAAAATGCTTCAGCATCAGTTTCTAGCAGCAGCTGTGGCAGAGAGAGAAATCTAAAATATTTTGTGGATTTAATGTATTCATGGAAGAACTAATCACACAAGTAAATGTAGCTGCTCAAATTGCTCTCTTGGACAAAGGCAAACATCTTCCATTTTCTTTCATGTGGGATTGCTACCTTCTTCAAAGGAGAAGCTTTTACCTCAAATTGAGTGGGGGTTGGGAGATTGTTAAGCTCCAGTCTGTCTGATGTGCTCAGTTCTCATCTTGAAGCTCAATGACTCCTAAAAACCCAACACAGGATTTTACAAAGGAAGCTATTCATAATAGGTATTCAAACTTAATGACCAGAATCAAATTACCAAATTCTGGTTTACACATTTTTAAAATTTTTTTTGATTGCTGCCTAGACCTCTTCTCTCTTTTCTAGAGTCTTCTTTCCCCCTCTATCCTTAAAGAAAAAAAAAAAAATCAAAACAACCCGAACAAGTGACCAAGACAAACCATGTTCCTTCCCCAGTACAAAATACCTAATTTTTGTTTCGGTATGGTTTGACTTATAAATTCCAACAGCCACATTCTCGGCTGCTCGAAGGGGCGTCTCACGGCTTAGGAACGAACGCTGCTGGCAAACAAAGGGGCTCAGTTGCATCTCCGTGCATTAATAACCGGTGTCCCACTGCATCAGACTATGCGGATTGTTGTGGGCATTTTTTTTTTTTTTTTGCTTGCAAAATGGAGATCTTACAACTGAAAGAAGACCAAGGGGGAACGTGCCTACACAGTTTTGTTCTCATGAACCAGAAGGCATTTCCTCTTAACAATGAGACACAGACCCAAAAATAAAAACAAGACCACGTTTATTCAATACAGACAGGTTAATTAAGACAGTAAGTCCTGTAAATCAGGAACACATTTCAAACGCTCCGGTACGAAGTGCATATATTTAAAATCAACAGCTGCATCTTGTACTTGAGCCATTGAGTTTGTCGGGGAAGGGTGGATTCAGGGTTTTTCTTTTTGGTAGAAAAAACTTGTTTCGGCTACCTTATGTGAACAATGCATCTCAGGCTCCATTCACTCATTTGTTATTAAGTCCAGCTGCCTTCCAGCTTTGATATTCACATTTTTTAAAACTGCTTCATACAGTCACAACGAAAAACAATAACAATAAACGTTAAAATAACAACAAATAAACCCCCAACAAAAAAACCAAACCAGCCCGGGAGGGGAAAGGAAACACCTCCCGCCGGGGTCAGCGAGGATTATTGCAAATGGCTCCTGGGAGACGGAGCAGCTCCGCGGCAGCGGGGGACCGGCGGCGGGGGGGTCCGCGGCCCCGGCCGGGCTGCCCCGGCGGGGGGAGGAGAAGGAGGAGCTCCCGGGAAGGCAGAGAGGGAGGGGGGCACAACAACAGCTCGGGGCGGGCGGCGTGCGCGGCCTCGCCGGCTGCGGCTCCGCGGGGTCCGCGCCGCGGGTGACCTTGGGGCGGGGGGCTCGGGCATCCTCCCGCCCGAACGGGCACCGGCCCGGGGGCCCCGCCGCCGGGACACACTTACATCCTGGCGGAGCCCGCACCGCGCTCCCGCAGCCCGCCCGGCGGGGGCTCCGCCGCCGCCCGCGGCCGCGCTCCTTCGCCCGGTCACCGCCGCCGCTCTCCCCGCCGGCTACTGCAGGGGCTGCACCGCCGCCGCCGCCTCGCCGTCCGCGCCGCCGCTCCCCGCCGAGGCGCTGCCGCTGGAGGCCGCCGATGCCGCTGCTGCCGCCGCCGCCGCCGCCAGTTGCAGCCGCCGGACGGCTTCTTTGATGAGGTTGCCGGAAAGGATGAGCTGCTGCAGGAGCCGGTGCGGGTCCTCCTCCTCCGCCGGCCCGTCGCCCGGCCCCGGCGGAGGCTGCTTCCTCCGGCGGGCGGCGCTCCGCAGCCAGCCCCGTCCGCACAGCTGCTTGGTCACCCGCTGCTGGCCGCTCCGGTCCGGCCGCGGAGGCTCAACATGTTGCGAGTGAGCTTGCGGCGGGGCCGGTCCCCGCGGCGCCAGCAACCCGGCCCCGCTGCAGCACCGCGGCGAGTAGGGGGCGGCGCGGTCGCGGGCGCTGCCCGGCCCCAGGTGCTTGGGGACGCGGGGCGGCGGCGGCGCCCGCTGCGCGCTCAGCTGCAGCACCTCGCCCAGCTTGGCCACCAGCGCGTCCACCTCCTTAGAGCCCGCCTGTCCCACGGCGACCGGGCGCTCGAGCAGCAGGAAGCGCTCGCCCGGGCGGCACGGCATCTCTGCCGGGTCCCCGCCGTGCC